CCATTTTAAGTTCAGCCGCAAAATCTGCAACACTAATACTGGCCATTCATACCTCACTTTTTTGGGTAACCACTACCCCGTTTTCGCCGATCGCGATCTCATTCAAAATCATCCTCACCAAAGAACACTTACGCTTCTTCGGTAAACCAATGGGCACGTGCTTGCATAATCACATCAGCACATACCTTTTCATCTAGCGCAGGAATAATCGTTTGTAACTCATCAATCGCTAACTCAGCCAGATCATCTAATGTATTAACACCTGCTTGTGCCAAGTCGGCAATCATCGTTGGTGTTAATGCTTGAATATCACGAATATCTTGTGATACTGCCTCGATGTTTTCTTCACGGGCAATTTCAATCGTTAATAGGGCGTTGCGTGCACGATTGCGCAACTCGTTAACGATATCTTCATCAAACTCTTCGATTTCCAACATTTCTTCAAGCGGTACGTAAGCAACCTCTTCAAGGCTAGCAAACCCTTCAGCTATCAATATATCAGCAACATCTTCATCAATATCAAGCTTATCAACAAATAAAGCCCTCGTTGCACCACTTTCGGCTTCTTGACGTTTCTCAGATTCTTCAGGGGTAATGATATTAATTTGCCAACCTGTTAATTCGCTTGCCAAGCGCACATTCTGACCACCTCGTCCAATCGCAATGGCTAGTTCACTGTCATCAACCACCACGTCCATACTATGATTATCTTCATCGACCACGATAGACTTCACCACTGCTGGTGCCAATGACTGAATCGCCATTTGTGCCGGATCTTCAGACCACAACACAATGTCAATTGCCTCGTTCCCAAGCTCATTACGCACCGCTGTGATGCGTGTACCACGCACACCAACACAGGTGCCAATTGGATCTATTCTTTTGTCATGGGCATACACCGCAATTTTGGCACGTACACCAGGATCGCGTGCTGCTGCTTTAATTTCGAGTAGTCCTTGATCAATCTCTGGCACTTCATTATTGAAAAGCGCAATTAAAAAATCGGGAGAAATTCTCGATAATTCTAGAGAGATTCTTGCATTTT